CTATATTAATCCATTATAGGTACAACAGCAGGATAATCTTTTTTTTTTTTTTATTTTTATTTATTTATCTGACAGAGAGAGATCACAAGTAGACAGAGAGGCAGGCAGAGAGACAGAGAGAGGAGGAAGCAGGCTCCCTGCTGAGCAGAGAGCCTGATGCGGGACTCGATCCCAGGACCCTGAGATCATGACCTGAGCCGAAGGCAGCGGCCTAACCCACTGAGCCACCCAGGCGCCCCTTTTAACAGCAGGATAATCTTAACTCCATTTTTGTTTTTATTATCTCTTCTTTTCTTCTCTCAAAAACTCACAGTGGCCCTAATTTTCTCTTAGACTGATGTGGAATCCCTAAGAATAGTTAGTCTTTATCTTATTGACTTTATACCCCAGTATATTCTGGTTTAGGATAAATCCCAAAAATCTAGCACAGAGCTCAGTGCCACAGCCATTAGTCAGGGGCATAGCACCAAGAAGCACTAAATCCTTACAGAATGAACTATAGAAGCACTAAATCATTATTATAGAATGCATTATAGAAGCACTAAATCATTATAAAATAAATAAGTGAATTATCTTTTCAATAAACCCTCTCATTTCCTCTTCTGAATACATCTCTCCTGATCCTAGGTGTATGTCTTCACAGATAACATCTTACCAATCTGAAGACAGCTTTTCCTTCTGACAGGTCAGGACGTCTATAGCATTTGTTCTCACTAACTTCTTTTATGAAATCTGAGATCAGCCAGTTAGGATCTAGTCACTTAAAACATTCATGTCAACTTCTTCCTTGTCATTCTGCATACTCAGGTAGAGCCTCCTGTACATAGTGAGTACTGACTAAATACTCTTCAATAAAACCTTTTCTTAAAGGGCGAGTCAACAGGTCTAAATCAAATAGTACCTACAAATTAGTCATTTTAGACACAGAGATCAGTGGGTTTTAACAAGTTGGGACATAAATACAAGTAGGATTCTGAACTGAAAGAATTTCCCCTCCCCCACAAAAAATTTGGCTAGCCATATTTTCCATTTCTATAGGGTTAACACATATTTTAGGAATCCTTTTCTCCCTTAGTATTGCCCTATCATATAAAAATAAAAATGTAAAATAATCAACAATAAAAAGATAAAGTGCATACATAGAATTGTGATATCAAAGTCATGTGACTTTTCCGCTTGCTTGACCCACTAAACTGCTGCACAGGCCACATGGGAAGACAAAGTTCAGGGGACATGTCTTAGGAAGAGAGAGTCACTGGACAAGTAATAGCAGGGAGTGCTCTAGAGAAGAAGAAAGCATGGGCAGAGCTCCACATTCTGTTTAATGAGCATGCCTCAGCAGTGGTGTTTTTGTTTTTGTTTTTTGAAAACGGTCTTTTTTTCTTTAAATACAGGCTATTTTTCTGAGTCTTTTTGCTTTCAGCAGTCAGTTTGGACATCCAACTCCAAAAATATATCAGAGAAATAGAAAAGATATGATTGTTGTTTTTCTGCAAGGCTTCCCAAATGAGGCAGGTGGACAGAGCAGCCCATACACCAGTCCAACAGCATGCCTGACTCAATAGCTCTGAGGTCATCGGTCCACTTCATAGCCCTTGTAGGGAGTAGTAATTTTCCATCACGAGAAGCGTGGATCAGATGAAATTGGTAGCCAAGATCTAAAAGACTTCATGACTTAGCCCAAACACAACTATTTTCCAACTGGCAAAAAAGTTATTTTCTGTATTAGATACTAGAAGTATATAGTTATAATTAATCATTTTAGCTTGAATTTTCGGAAGTAAACATATTTTGTTAAGGTTTATGAGAAATATATTTTGTTAGAGTTTATGGGAGTTGCCATGAAACACAATAATTTGGGGGAAAATAAGAGACAATTTGTTTTTACTGGGCCATGGATGGATGACTGACAATGGATGATATCACCAAATAGGCAATAATAACATCCAGCATTCCTAAATGATATAATAATTTGTTTTGAAGAAATATAGTTTCCAAAGAAACAAAAAGACAATCTAAACATATTATTTGGATAGCTGTGTGCCAAAATAAAATTAAATATATAAGTAAAGAAATTAATCCCAACCTAAAAAAAAAATCAAATATTTAGTCACAACCCTAAAAATGGTATGGATTCCAGAAAGTTTGTTTGTAAATGAATTATTTGCAATACTCAGTACATTTCCTGTGGAAAAAACATTTCCTGTGGGGATGTTGTGGATAGTAGTAGGGCTCCCCTTGTAACCTACAAAAAAATAGATTAAATCGTAGGAACACATAAGCATAATGGTAAAAGAACATCAACTTTACAGAGCCAAAGACTTGAGATTGCAGTGGCTCTGTTATTTACCAGTAGAACTGCCACTAGAAGTTATGTGCTACAGTCTCTAGCAAGAAGTAAGGCTCCCAGAGCAGCTGCTGTCTAGCCCAGAGCACACCAGAAAAGCAGGCAGCTAGAGAAGCTCTGCTGCCCCTTAGGAAGGATTTCCTGTGATGGAGAGCCCACCTACATTCTGTTGTGCTCAGGTGGGAGGCTTATGTGTAGAATTAATGTCAAGGAAGATTACTTCCCAATGGCCCTGATTGAATTAATGCTATCAAGTCAAGATGTTGGGGCAGTGAAACCATTTGTTGTTAACTACATAGTCTTTTCAGATGCTTGTAATTCTTTTTTTTAAATTTATTTTTATTTATTTATTTTTTAAGATTTTATTTATTTATTTGACAGAGAAAGAGAGGGAGTGAGATCACAAGCAGGGGGAGTGGCAGAGGGAGAGGGAGAAGCAGCTCCCCGCTGAGCAGGGAGCCTAATGAGGGGCTCTGAGCCGAGAGAAGATGCTTAACCAACAGAGCCACCCAGGCGCACCCAAATGCTTGTAATTCTAAAACTTAGGACTAAAATGAGGTTCAACCTTAATAAAGATATGTTTCATGTGAAACTTAAGCTTTTCACACATGCAGATATGCTTTCTAAATATCTGGGTAAATCTCTCTCCACTCCCAATATATAAGGCAATTAATTGTATTATAATACAGCCACCCTTTTATAAACAAAAGGAAGCATTTGTTATAAGACAAATCTGCATGGATCAATAAAATGTCCTTATATCTACCTACCCAGGGCTTATAGGGGGCATCTTTCTATGAAATACATGTTTTTCAGGAAAATAAGCTCTTGGGCAGAGCCATCACTCACCTGCATAGTACCATATGAAAGCCCGATGAGACATGGAGTTGTGGTCTCTGGAAATGCTGACTGCCTACAGAGGTCAGTCAGGACAATACTCTAAATGCTCACAGTTCAGAATGACCATGCCTGGAAATGTTCATTATGTAAACCACTGGAGGATGCTATCAATAACTGCTTCAAAATCAGAACATCAGATATTCATAATGGGTTTTTTTCTCTCTCAGATACTGGTATAAGTGCAGATGTTACTATCATCAAGTAAAAAATTAACACCAAGAGAGTTAAAATAACACACTATTCAAGGAAGGAGAGATTACAGTAAGATAGAGAAAATCTCAAATATACTGTTTACACTAATTCTCTATATTACTGGATAGTTTGATTAAAAATGTTTCTTCTGGGCGCCTGGGTGGCTCAGTTGGTTGAGCGACTGCCTTTGGCTCAGGTCATGATCCCGGACTTCCAGGATTGAGTCCTGCATCGGGCTCCCAGCTCCTTGGGGAGTCTGCTTCTCCCTCTGACCTTTTCCTCTCTCATGCTCTCTCTCACTCATTCTCTCTCAAATAAATAAAAAAAATCTTTAAAAAAATAAATAAAAATGTTTCTTCTTTCCCTAATTTATAGATTTAGGATGATTATTGGAGATGTAATAGCCATAGTTTGAACGAGATCTACCTTGCCTATCCAAAACCACATTTTAAGGTGGAGTGCCATGAAACTTGACAGAGAACAAAACTTTCCTACTATGGAAAGCAAAAAGATGTGACAAGAATTTTGTTGAAAGCTTATAAAATGTCTTTATACTAAGTTATATTGTCATTTACATAAACTGACTCATGCAAAGCTATCTTATTTTTTAACTGGAAAACATACAGAAAAAAAATCTTAGAATTAAAACACACATACATAACATTTTTTATCATCTTAATTTTTAATAAAATTTGGAATCACTAAACCTAATTTTTTAATAAAATTAGGAATCTTGGGACGCCTGGGTGGCTCAGTGGGTTGGGCCGCTGCCTTCGGCTCGGGTCGTGATCTCAGGGTCCTGGGATCGAGCCCCGCATCGGGCTCTCTGCTCGGCGGGGAGCCTGCTTCCTCCTCTCTCTCTGCCTGCCTCTCTGCCTGCTTGTGATCTCTCTGTCAAATAAATAAATAAAATCTTTAAAAAAAAAAAAATTAGGAATCTTGTTTTGTTATCAGTTATAATTTTTTCCCTAGAAGTACTTTATGGGCTTGACTTAGCTCTGGCCTAGTTTTACAGGCAAACTCTAGGATCCTAGTTTATTGTCTTTAAAATAAGAGATAAGAGGAGCTTGGGTGGCTCAGTGGATTAAGCATCTGACTCTTGATTTTGGCTGAGGTCATGATGTCAGGGTTGTGAGATTGAGCCCCACCTCTTGCTCCATGCTCAGCAGGGAATCTGCTGGAGATTCTCTCTCTTTGCCCTACCTCCCCCCCACTTATGCTCTTTTTCCCCCTCTCTCAAATAAAAAAGTAAATCTTTTTTTTTTTTTTAAGATTTTATTTATTATTTGGCATACAGAGATCTCAAGTAGGTGGAGAGGCAGGCAGAGAGAGAGAAGAGGAAGCAGATTTCCCTACTGAGCAGAGAGCCCGATGTGGGGCTTGAGCCCAAGACCCTGGGATCATGACCCAAGCTGAAGGCAGAGGCTTTAACCCACTGAGCCACCCAGGTGCCCCTAAAAAAGTAAATCTTAAAAAAAAAAAAAGAGAGGGAGAGAGATAAAACACTAATAAAAGAACCAGCCACTGCAGCAAACTAGATGCTATTACAGAGTGGTCTCACCTTCCTCTGGTGGCCTTCTGTAGAACCTTCATTCCCATCAGGCTGCAGGACTTTCCTTCCAACTGTTGGTCCTTCAAGATGGTGACCTCAGAGTGCACTTCACTAAACATTCCATAGGCATCTTGCACAAGAAGGCAGCCTCTACAAAAAAGTATTAACATATTTTTAGAAGACAGTTTTTGAGTCACTACAGAGGGCAAGATTTCCTTCTCCCTCACTAGAAATCCATTGTAATCATCTTCCTGAATGGGTAAATCAGAGTAAAGGAAGTTGAACTCAAACATGCACTTTTAGATTTGTACTTACAGGTGTTTGGATCACTATCCACAAGAAACAGAAGGAAACAGAACTCTCTTTTAGCATAAAACGAAAGCCTAAGACAAATGTAGTTTAAAAGCACACAAAGAAGCTCATCCTTTTAAATAAAATGTATTACCACTGCCCAAAAGATTATCCTCTCTCCCCACTTTTATCCTGTTATAACAGGAAACATTTCTATTTCGTATGGATGCTCAATATTGATAAAAGCTTCAGTGTAACATTATGAGAACAATAATAAGGGGCTTTCTCTGAGAAGGTACATATTTACAGACATGCATATCCCACAGGATGAAAACCAGCTTCCCTGCTGGCAGCAACACAGACATGACAGATATCCAGTGACATGATAGCATTCCCCCCAACCTTTAAGTTCAAAGGGTAGTACATATAAAAACCTATTTAAGACTGAATTTCCAATCCTCTCATTTCATAATTCAGGTAAATGAAGTCTTATTTATTATGAAATGACACATTCTCAGAAAATATTTACTGAAGCCTGTAGTAAATAACACCACCAAAGAGACTGTGAGGAACAAAACTATTTTAAAGGTAAGGGCGTAGGGGCGCCTGGGTGGCTCAGTGGGTTAAAGACTCTGCCTTCGGTTGGGGTCATGATCTCAGAGTCCTGAGATTGAGCTCCACATCGGGCTCTCTGCTCTGTGGGGAGCCTGCTTGCCCCCCTCTCTCTCTGCCTGCCTCTCTGCCTACTTGTGATCTCTGCCTGTCAAATAAATAAATAAAAATCTTAAAAAAAAAGGATAAGGGTGTATAGTAAAGTACATGCTGGGAAAGAAGAAATGACAAATGACAAATGATGAACAAAGGAATGCTAAATCAGAAGTAATGAACTTCCTTTTTTTTTTTTTTTTTTAAAGATTTTATTTACTTATTTGTCAGAAAGTGCATGCACAGCAGGGGGAGCGGTAGGCAGAGGGAGAAGCAGACTCCCTGCTTAGCGAAGAGCCTGATGTGGTACTCTGTTCCAGAACCCTGAGAGATCATGACCTGAGCAGAAGGCAGATGCTTAACTGACTGAGCCACCTAGGTGTCCATGAAACAATGAACTTTAAATAATGCTTAGAACTGGACTTCCTAATTAATTCTCCCAGGTTCATAGGGCCCTCCCTGATTTACAATAGAGGCAAAGGTAAACCTTGTCTGAAGGAAATTACCTTTAATTTAATCATTAGTTGTCATGGAGTAAGATCAAATAAACATGTGCCTGAATAAAAATCTCTAGTACAGGGGACCCTGGGTGGCTTAGTTGGTTAAGTGTATGCTTTCAGCTCAGGTCGTGATACCAAGGTCCTGGGATCGAGCCCCATGTTGGGCTCCCTACTCGCAGGAAGTCTGCTTGTCCCTCTTCCACTGTCTCTCCTCACTGGTCATGTTCTCTCTCTCTCTCTCTCAAATAATTAAATAAAATCTTCAAAAAAAAAATCACTAGTATAAGAAAACAATTTACTATGTGGGAAGAGTAAAAAAACAAAACAAAACAATAGACCTCCCTAGGATTTGACATATTAGAATTAAAAGATATGAAATATGGAATAATTATTTTAAAAAGGTAAAATCACAAAGATATAAATACAAAACAAAAGATATACAACATGACTTGGGAGATTTGAAGAATGAAATAGAACTTTCAAAAAGGAAACACTACATTTTTTGAAATAAAGAAGTTATTAAATAGGTGTAAACAAATGGTTACATGCACCTGAAGAATGTATATATGTGAACTGGGTTATAAATTTGAATAAATTACCTAGAATGCATGTTGAGAGCTGAGATAAAAAACATGAGAGAAAAGAGAAGTACAGAGGATAGAATGAGAAAGTGTAACATTTGTCTAATAGGAATTTCAGAAGAACAAAATAGAGGAAGGAGAAGCAACAATTCTCACATTTGGGAACTGCAAATTTTCTCCCCAACTGATGAAAGAAATGAATCCAAATATACAGGAATAGAAACAAGTACAAAGCAGGACGACTAAAAGGAAAGCCTTCCTAAGACACATACTGTAATAAAACTAGAGAATGTCAAACACAATGAGAAGATTTTAAAAGCAAGAACGGTGAAAAGACCATCTGAGGAATAAAAATTTGATTTACATCAGCCTCCTAAAAAGGAATGAAGCCAGACAATAGAGAAATATTTTCACGAATTCTGGAAGCCATTTCAAAACTATGTACCAGCAAAACAATATTTCATGAATGATGGTAAAATATAGGCATTTTTATATAAAGAAACATGATGCACATTTTCCACCTACAGAGCCTGAAATATTTACTACTTATTAAGATAATTACAGAAATAATTTCTAAATTATGCATTTTAGGAAGAAGGAAAATATACTGGGAAAAAGGTCTAAGATAAAAGGACTACTGAACATCAACATAAACAAATCAAAACAGACACAGTAGGATAAAATAACACCACCACCAGTAATATCAATTAATGAAGGGGTTGCTGAAAAACTGGAAATGGAGAGCAAGTAGGTCAATGGGGGTGATGAAGTTCAAATGGTCCCAAGTGCTCATATCACTTAGAGTTGGATGAAGATTTAAAACTAGACATCACTGATATTTACATCTGGTAAAATTTCAAGGATAACCACCGAAAGAATAGAAATAGGGTGTATAACTTCCAAATAACTAGATGGAGAAAAAAAAAATGGAATGAGAAATATGGGCAAAAACAAAAAACTCCAAGAAAATGCAAAGAAAAAGCACAAAAAAGGGGCAGAGAGATGTAAGGTAATAAGTTTGATGGTAGACACAAATCTATGTACTTTTGAAATGGAATAAAAATGATTTAAACTTGACAATTAATAGGCAGAGTTTGTCATGTTCAGTTTGAAGGAAGAAAAAGAAAAAAATGATGTTGACAGGAAACTTTCTAAAACAGAGAAAGGTTCAAAGGGCAAAAAAATGTTTTAGGCAAATATTAATCAAAAGAAAGCTGAGAAGTAGTTTTGAGACTACACTAAATAGATTCTAGGAGAGAAAGGATTATTAAGGGTAAAGAGGTCACTAATATTGATTTTTTAAAAGCTTAATTTATAAGAAAGATATATAATTCTAAAACTGTATGCTCTCAGCCTTGAAATACATGGAAGTATAAACTGACAAAACTACAGAGAGAAGAGAACAAATTCAACATTATTGTGGGAGATTTCAACCCATCCCTGCCAAGTTGTTAAGTCAATCTAAGGAAAAATTTAGTAAGGATTTGAAAAACTTGCACATACCTTGTAAGTTTGATTTGTTGGCTAGGCAATTAGAAAAACTGCCTACAATTAGAGAAAGTGCATTCTCAAGTACACATAGGACATTTATAAAATCTGACCAGACACTAGGCCTTAAGGCAGGACTGAATGAATTTCAAAGAATCAGTATTGTATGGGACACATTGTATATCTACAACATAATTAAATGAGAAACCTAACAAAAAATGTATACTTTGGAAAATCCTCCATTTAAAAATTTTACAACATCCTTTTCAACTCATGGGTCAAATATGAAATCATAGCGGAAAAGAGACAGCATTTTGAACTATTTGATAAAAATACCACATGCCAAAATTTATGGATTACAATGATGCCTTAGGGAACTTGTAGTCTTAAATATAATAAAACATGATCAATTTTCCTTTTTTATATAAACCTTTAAATTAGTTTTTTATGTACTTACCATAAATTCTACACCTCAGCCAGTTACTAAAATATTCCTTCAGGGTGCTGAACCTCACATGCACTGTGCCTTGAAGAGGCTCTCCTGGAGCCTTTGCTTCACTCCAGTCTGGACTGGTTAGCACAGCAGTCATCCTAGGATATCTTGTCAGAAAATCTGAGGGATTTACTTTGCTGCTTTAGTATGTTGGATCTCCTATTTTTCATATCCTATATATTCCTTTCTTAATTGACTTCAAGTTAGTAGCTCACATCTTCTAGCTCCCTAAACAGGGGGAATTAGGAGCTAAAATCTTTGAACCCATTCATGAAATTGTCAATAATCTACCCTCAAAGTTTATGGGCATTTTGGCTGGGTATAGATTTCTAGATTGGAAATAATTTTTCTATTCCAAATCCAATACTGTTTTTTGTTTTCCTCCTTTCTCTCCAGGAGCTGAGCTTTGTTCTAGTTCCCAGGGCACTGACATTGCATAGTGATATTCCTTGGTACAGATCTGTTTCTATGCACTGGGTGAGTAATATCCTTGGTGGGTCCTTTCACAGTGGAATCATGTCTACTCTGTAATTTCATTGATACTTCCTCTCCTTCATTTTTTCTCTTCTTTCATTCTGGTTATTGGACATATTGGACCAGTTCTTTAAGTTTACTAACTTTTCTCTCCTATTTTCCACTAATTCTTTCAGTTCCCTCAGCTTTGTCTTCCAATGCTTCTAATTAGGTTTTTCATATTATCTACTTCTCATATGTTAAACTTCTAAGAGTTCTCTTTTAAGCTCTGAAAGATGTTTTCTTTCCCCTTAGTGTCCAATTTTGTTTTATGGTTGAAGTATCTGTAACTTCATTTAAGAAGTTTTCTTCAGGCCCCTGCTATCTGTTCCCATTTAAGAACAGAGCTCTAACAAGCTTCCTGGACTCTCCCAATGGGTAGGAGGAGGAACCCATCAACCATGAACAACAAACACATGGGTAAATAGGCTGGGCCACTTTATGGCTGGGGAATCTCAGATGTTAGTATCTTTACATCTCTTGATAAGGAAATTGCTCAGAAAAGACTATGTTTCTTGGCATTCCACTATATGTCACGGTAAGGGAGGAATGACCACTCAACAGTGTGGAGTAGGTGAA